GCTCGTACGGCTATAAAGAGCGCGTACGGCTGATAACCTGCGAGTGGATCTTAATCAGCGAAGTTTGAAGCTATCACTGACGATCCATAAGCGGCGTAGCGTCGGAACGGAAACCGCACCTTTTCTAGTCGCTTGATCCTTGAGCCAAAGTACATATGGTACATATATATGTACAAGTTGCACTGTACGTGTCGCTGCACTTCCATTCGCAAATTCAATACATATTTTGACCCCCAAAAACATCCGTGAGCAGCTCCAGCCTCCTGTAGTTTCTGCCGGTCCAAACCCGAAGCCTCACGAGGTCTTTGATGGTCCAGGTGGTCTTCAAAAAGGGAGGTCTTGGGGGGGTGAGACCTAGGTGCTTGGGGTCTGAAGAGGCTTGGCGTTTTTTTTTAATCTATCCAACCAGCCGACCCGGGTGGCTGCATGGCTTGTTCAAAGGAGTTCTGTTGAGGTAGCAAAGAAGATGGAGCTAACTGGGGTCATTTTGTAACATGCTTCTAGAATCCAATCAAACTGAGGTGCCCTGTGAATGGTGCCACTGCTTTGGTCGGACCAAATTTCAAACATGTGAAAACTGTATAAAACTATATATGGCTCATATATGCTCATATATATTAATATAGCTATTGCTATAGCTATTGTCTGCTCAACATTTGAAAATGAGACTCATCTGGAAGTATTTGTGCTACCCTCTCTCCAACATGCTTCACGTGGCAATCGCTCGGCCCCAATTGGAAGCTGGCTTGAGGCACTAAACTGGTAGACATATTGCCATGAAATGTGGCCGGGATCGAAATGGTCTCCGTCCTTTCATCAAAGCACATGTGGGCCTGACAATTCCCAAACATGTGTTTTTGTTCCATCTTTCCAAAACAACTATGACCCAGATTTTGGAGGCTTGTGGAAGTCCGCATCTGCCGTCAAGTCGAACGCAAACGTTGCGTCGTTGGGGCCCCCCTGCCGCGCTCATCGGTCTCAATGGCTTCCTGGCAGATCACTCAAGATTGGGAAGGACTTCTTGGTGCAGCTTGACAGCTGAAACACCGGACACCATAGCAATTGCCGCCGCTCCACGGGGCTCAAAGGTTAACAAATCGGAATCAAAGCGCGTTTTAGAGGAGGCAAAACATCGTTTTACTCTCTAATTACGTGAGCTGGTGACGAACACATACTTCAACCACTGCAGCAGTCTCTTGTTTCAAGAGAGTTCCAAATACCAGAAACATGCGCGGGACATGCACCCAAAGCGCTGAGGCAGAATCTCTACACTGGCAAACCCGCGGGGCCATATAAAAGTAGACTGATGCCGTAAGCTGGTAGATCTAGGGAGCTTGTGGATGAAGATCTGCAATGCCCGCGCGCATTCCTGGTGTCCCCTTGTTAACATCCTCGAGACAACAAGAATGCGCTGACAAATGAAGCCCGTAGTTTGCGGGAGGCTATGTCTGTCTCCCTTCGAAATGGCTTTCGAAGTGGCTCAATCAATCACTCTTCTTGCAGGACACCCCATCTTTGAGAAAACCGCCAAACAGCGCCCCCACATGCGCTCTGCGCCTCTTCACCTGGCACAGAATGCGCGGATGACGAATGATGAGAGGTCCTCCACTAGGTCCTCCCTCTGTGCTTAGGTGAAGACCTCCAAGTGGGACAGGTGGTAGCGCCTGAATGGTTGTGAAAAATCCAATGATCTGTGGCCATCCGTGCCTCCTTCGTCATGAAAGTCCCTTTTGCAACCGTGGAGGCCACGTGGTCATAAGAGCGACACAAGACATCGAGGCATCTTACTCATACTATTCAGATCTATTCAGTATTCCCTACAGGATCCAAGTACCTCCATAAAAGGTACCACTGCACCCTCTCATTTCGGTGGCAGTAGATCCATAGTGATCTCATTTCAATGGGTTTCTTGGGGACTGGAGTGGTTCTTAGGGGTTCTGAGCGGTTCTTACGCGTCCCTGGACTACGCCCTGGTTCTCCACTACGCCCCTAACCTGAGGCCTGATTCATAGTGCCATAATTCAGTGGAACCTTTCGACAAGTTAGGCCACCTTGCATCGTTTGAAATGAAGCCAACGCGTACGTGCTCAAAGCCGACCTGTCTGAATGGTCCTATTCTCTCAGGGTTAGCTCAGTGGAACATCGAAGTACCATATCATGCGCAACCCATCAACAAACGTGACAAGAAAAGGGCACCAAGTACCTCACGGACGGTCCGCTATTTTTAGACCCCTCTGTCACCCATCTATAAGACCTTCGAAACAGATGTACCTTCAGCCCTTGGGTGAATAGTTCGTCCACTTGTCTGCCTTCTCTGTTGCCACCCCCACGAGACTGCGCCTCGGAGTTCAGAAGAAGGCCTCCAGTGCAAACACGGATCGAGGAAAAAGCCGCTGGTTCGTTGGTTCACGCAGATTCAGCTGGTGGGGAAGAACTGGAATAACCACATCCTCTTGAAATGATCGCTGGCAATTGTGTGTCTTCAACTATCCTTGTTGGGACTTGCATGATAGTCCATGCCGTTTTGCTGCAGATCATTGGTTTCCGGTGAATTTCTTCTGCAAAACATGCCAAACCATCATGGGCAGGCCGACACTGGAAATCAGTTTTGTACGTAAACGCTTGGAGACGCGGACTTTGGCACTGCAAAGTACTAGCGCTTTCGAAACAACAGTTTACAACTCGTTCAGGCGCGACGAGTGCGACGGACGAGACACGAAAGAGGAGAGCTGAGCGTGCTGTCGTCCAGCGTGCGTGCCCAAACGTCTGCCGGAACAAAATAGGACAGGAAGGGAAACGTAGTTTGTACGCACATACAATGTTGGGATTTCTCAAGCAACACCTTTGGTAGCAGTAGGTGTGGTGGCATTTTGTAGTAAGTTGTATGCTGCTGCGCCGATTTCCATGGCGTTCAAGCAAACTCAAAAAGTATCTAAATGATGTACACATCATTCTCAGAAAGATGAGCTCACTACAAAATGATTCTTATTTCTGCAAAGTACCACGTGCCAGGCCTACCCCCTTGTATGAATTCACCGCTAGCCAAGTTGTCCTTCTACAAAAAGCCAGTGGCTAGAGAAAACAAATCAACATTCCTCAGGAACCAGCAAGTACCAACAGAGATTGAAGGACCCTATAGACTAGGTACCCCAGTAGGGTCCTATAGGGTCACTTATATAACCTCTCTTTGTACCTTGCTAAAATATTAATTGCCCCCACCTCTCCCTGGGACATCCTTTCTATATCTAAGCCAGCTTTGTAGTCGCCATGATGAGGCCCCCCATTCTGTAGTAGACATTCTCACGGGAATTCCAAGCCCAAGTTTAAGAACCAAGATGCCCCTGCAATGCGCGGTATATATATATATATATGATCTGCGAAACATACCAATAGACAACGCCTCCAATCTGTACATAGTTCAAGGCCCCAAATCTGAACTTTCTGAAGACAAAGACGCCTCAATGCCTGAGGATGCCTGAGGTCTAACTTCATGAGCTCCACTTCTCTGCAGATGGCACTTTGCACCCGGCTTGGATCTGCAGCTCCAATTGGGCCATGATGGCCGTGTTGGCATCATTCTGGTTGGCCGGTTTGGGCAAACACCACAGAACTTGAATTGAATTTGCCCTGGTGGGACCGCCTGCTCCTGCGTGGGCTCCACCTGTGTTGTGTAGCATCCACCTGTGTCCTCCATCCTCAGCCATTGCACGTTGCACCGCCGCAGGAGCAACCACTGCAGGTTGCACCAGCACCAACAGCGGCTTCTGCATTCTGCACTCTCCACTGGGACCCTGCACCGATCTCAGCTGCCGATTTCCAGCTGAGAATATGCTCGGTGTGGAATCGGTGCAGGCGCAACTCTCGTATTGAAAGACAACCAAGTGTGGAAAGGCATGGAAAGGCATGGGAAAGGCATTGGCATGCCCCTTGGCGATATGGACATATGATCCTTGGCAATTTTTTTGCAGGTGTTGCTATCGCTGGCCGAAACCCAACATGTTCGGCGTTCGACTTCGTCAACTGGGTTGCCTCTAGCAAAACGAATCTAAATGGATTGTATCCACCAAAACAAGCATCTTGAACAAGATCGATGGACCATGGATTAGATTAAACCATATTAAACCAACGAACTCTTCACATCGAAATGCGCTTTCTAATCGTAAAGGTCAATCCTCCCTATATGGTCGCCAATGATATGGATATAGTCACCGATTCAACTGGCATCGCCACATAAGCAGAAATTGAACCACCACGGAGGCTTAACCACCCGCCCGCACCTCGCCCTGCCGAGCGCGGCCGCGCGAGGTGCGGGGCGTTGCTCAACGGAAGGTCCGAGGGCCTCGCACGGCCAAATCGCTCGGAGGGATTTGGGCCACTGGGGTATCCCAAACACGACTAGTGGGACTGGGCGATTTTTGGGCCATTTGGGATGGTTTCAAAGGCCAATGTAGTTACACTCTCGCACATATATGTGGAAGTGGAGAACCCAAAAAGGCCTTCATACGTGGAACTCCTGACATGCATAGCCACCTTCCACGTTAGGGAAACGTGAAGCAAACATCAGCAACTAAGACTAACATAGAACCCACTCTTGCAGCACTAACATGGAAGCTCAACAATAGATAACATCAATACACACATGGCTTCGTTAGTGAAGTGTCAGCACACTTTGTGATATTCACTACTACTGTGATGCTGCTGTAAAATGAGTCCTCTGGATTGGGGCTATAATGCAGCTTTGAACCCATAGTCCAGGCACCAATTGCACAAGTAAGAACATGTATTCCACTAACATGGCAGTGCAAAACATTGCACAGGCAGGCTTTGACTTTTCACAGTCCGCAGTGACTTTTCTACCGCTTTGTTCTTTGTTTCCGTTCTCTCTATAGCGAATTGAAGGCCTGTCAATGTTCGTAATGTCGATGTCCTTGAGTTGAAGGCGCCGCCACTGATATCGAAGCGCCAAAATGCTAGACTTAGCCAAAAGGAGCATCATCATCTCAGGTCTGTGAATTCGGTCGAATCGCAAAGCTTGTGGCCAAGTGGCCATTTGATGCATGTTGCACAAACACCAATAAACATGAAGTCTCGCTCAAGTCTCCAAGGCGATGCTCGAAGAAGATGCGTAAGACAAATTTCAAGTTGCGCAACCGCTTTCCATGAAAGACGTCGAGAATCTTAGCATAAGCTGTTGAATGCCCGGCATGGACCTCAAGACCAGCCCAAGGAAATTCCACGGCGCCCATCTGAGGGGCCGAAGTGACTTTTCTACCGCTTTGCCCTTTGTTTCCGTTCTCTCTAGTGCATTGACCAGAAGCCATACAATGCATCGCAGCTCTATTTGCATCTATCGCAGCCAGTGATCGGCACTCGATGACCGAATCAGAGGTCATGTCTGGACGCCTCCCAAAAGGTCGAGAACATGAGCTTGGCTGGCGAGGAACCCCAAATCAGCCACTGATGCAACCTCCGCAGCACTTATGAAAGACCTTTGGACCAATGGACAGACTGAAGGCCCCGATGGATGATGTCTAGACCTCAAGCTTTGGGCAATTTCCAGTGACCACGTGGCAGTCAGAAGGCCTGGTGGGTCCGCTGGACATCCACACACTTGCACGTCAAGTTCGATGTTCATCTGAATTCCATCGGAGCAACTTCTGGAAGTATCCAAACAGTACTATTCATGTATTAGCTTATAGGCCGTGCACACATGAAAACTCAGGCACCCTGAAACAACGTGCATTTCATACCAAACGGGACCTTTTGGTGCATGGCCGGTGGGAAAAGGCATAGCCAGCTCGAGGGACACCATGTCCGGAGACCGAAGGATGTCGTTCGCTCGATTGCGCCGGAAAAGGCGCCAGCTCGACACGCACACGACACGACACGAGGGGAACCAAATTGAATTTTGCCACTCTTCTTGAGGCGAAGTTCTGTGCCGGTTCAACTTCCGCCTGGACTTGTGGATCCTTGGTTCGGCCTTAATCCGGCCAAAGAGATCCCACTGCGACTGCTCCGAGAACTGGCCTAGCTGGGCGATAGTTGGAGCAAAATACCAGCAATTAAGCACAGCTTTTCATGATGTTGAAACTCACACCTGGCGAGAGTTGGCTGTGCGCCTTGGGATGCGCCTAGAACAATGCTCAACGTCTGGGCCCATGGATGAACAAAGTCTGGACTGGTGTGATGGAGGGGGAGTCTGGCGACAAGCTTGGGTTGAACAGTGTTGATCAACGAGGCGTCTGAGAGGCAAGAGCATTTATGCCTGAACCTCCCATAACGTACACCAAAAACACGATCAACTGAGTTTTTTGTAAACGAGCTCGCGCACTTGTGTGTGTGTGTGACCACCAGCAATGCCTTGGATGGCGGGCAGGTGAACCAAACCATGGGGGATTGCTTTGGATGCTTTTGAGAGGCCGGGGTATGGTACCCGCCGTTGAATGGTCCATATCGGTCTCTGGTTGTTTGGGGTCAGCGCGTGCAGGTGATCCATAACCTTCTTGAAAGGGAGTTCAAGGAGGCCAGCTCTGATCATGCAAACCCGCAGCAGGGAGAGTTTTCTTTTTTCCCCTGTGGCACCGTGTCATCCACATTGGATCTTTGGTAGGGTGTCCTGTGATCATGGCTAGCCATGTCATCGGCTGTGGTAGACGAGTGGGAGAGCGGTCCAGTTGGGTCACCGTGGAGAACTCGTTCACGACACAAACAGGGGAACCTTGGCCGAAAAGAGATGTGATTCACAACGCGACGAAGTCCTGGGACCACTGTTGTTACACCTGGGTGCCTTGTCAGCGGCCAGGAAAACCACTATGATCTGATCAAGTTTAGTCCAACGCCCCACTAGCCATAGAACTAAATTCCTATCCAGACCGCTCAGGACTTCGCCCCGCTGTTCACCCACGAAATTCCTTGGCAGCAGAATTGTTCAGTCTGGCGGGTGAGGCCACGAGGAAAGCCACCTGTAGATGGAGTCTTGCCTTTGTTTAAGCTTAAGACTTAAGCCTTCGCCCGCCACTTGAAGCCTTGCCTATCAACAAACTGGCCTAAGAGCTTTGGTGAAGGGCGCTGCATGGGCACTTCGCCGCCTTGTGACAGAGTTTGCACGTGCGGCTCGCCGGCCGCACATCCCGTGGGAACCGGCCATGAAAGGCCTTTATATTCAGAGCGGAGTCCCTTGACCGGAGGGTTCCCCGGCTTGATTGATATAAGCAATGCACATTTTAAGCACATCGATCCTTAATTACGATCCTGTAATTGTTCAATCAAAAAGCGAAAAGAGGGTCTAATCCAAGATTGTAGCAATCTAAGGTAGTTTCGACGTCGATGCAAAGAATGGGGAGGGTGATGAAGAAGGATGCGGTGAAGGTGGTGAAGAGGAACACTTAACAAATGATGAATGCATCGAAATTCCTGAGGCCGGATTCTTTTCATATCTTAAGTTTCATGACCCCGCTCAACAATCCTCGACCAATCCTCCGCCCTCACCGCAGCCAGGATGCGGAAGAACGCCGCAGAATGAAAGCTGTACCTGCAGCGTCAGCTCCTGCACCAGCAGCCCGTCCAGGTCCGCTCATTAGAGATGCTTCACCACAAGCACCAGTACCAACAGGAGGTTTCCTGGTTTCACTTATTTCGAGTTGAACGTCAGTTCTTCGAGTATCACTGCAGTGCAGATATGATCAATATTCACTGTTATTGGGTGCGATTGCGGCTTAGGCAACAAAGCCTTGAGCTTGAGGGGTCCATCGTTGAACCGGTTGAACACACCATCACCTCGAGGTGGGATAATTAAAGTAATTAAACTGCACTGAGTGTGCTTTTCAGGCATAAAGTACGTTTTGTTTTGAGTAGCATCCCACCGCCCTGCAGGTGTGGCTGTTGCCAGCCCAACACCGCCAAAGGTCGCTCAGGCGGACAAGCACTTTCACACCATCAAGAGACAGTATGAAGGGTGTGAATGCAAAACATAATGTGGTGCCTATGCAATTGACATTGCCGGTTTGAAAGATTTGAAAGCTGTTCCATGCGCTCCGCCAAGTTTTGAAAAGGGTGGTGGGACCGATCTCAACAAGACCCCGGAAATCGAGAGGCTAACCTTAGCCAAACTGGAGGAATACAAGCGGTTTCAATTTGAGTTGGAGCGTTTTGCTCAAGACCAAACGCTCGATTGAAACCGACCGGTCCTCCGTTGGCTCACTTGGCAGCAGTCTCGCCTCAAGATTTCTTGCAGAAACAGTGCATGTGATATGACATAATGATATGACAAGGACTGTTTTTTGTTCAGCATACATACAAATATATATATATATATATTGGCATTGCACATTATTGCACTCAGTTAACTCCTTTTTCGGCCAGCTATCTGAAGGTTTCAAATGTTGGCATGGTCGCCAACATACCTTGAGTATGTCAAAAGTGCCTCTCTGGGCCTTTTATGACTTACTTAGCCAACTGCGGGCTAGGACCTCTGTGGGCCTGTTTGCCTCAAAAGGGCACACAGTTTGCCTCAAAAGGGCACGGCTATCTTGTCAACTGCCACGACGGGCTTATGCCTCAGATGGGCTCGGCTATATTGGCAAGCCGTTCAATGTTCAACTATCAAGGAAGCAACCTCCAAACAGTTCCAGCCAGTGCTCAAAAAAGTCTTCCACAAAGCTCCTTTCCTCAGCCGGAGAGAACCGGCAAGAGATAGGGCTGGGCCGGGTGGGCCACACGTGGAGCCTAGTTGAGCCCGTGGCCGCAGGAGTCATTTCGTGCAATTCATCTCACCTGCGGAAGTTTACATTGCACTCAGTTAACTCCTTTTTCGGGCAGCAATCTGCAGGTTTCAAATATTGGCGTGGTCGCCAACATACCTTGAGTACGTCACAAGTGACTCTCTGGGCCTTTTATGACTTATTTAGCCAACTGCGGGCTAGGACCTCTGCGGGTCTGTTTGCCTCAAAAGGGCACACTGTTTGCCTCAAAAGGACACGGCTATCTTGGCAAGCCGTTTTTCAAATGCCACGACGGGCTTATGCCTCAGATATGCTCGGCTATACTGGCAAGCCGTTCAACTATCAAGGAAGCAACCTCCAAACCACTAACCAAGGCACCAAGTATCGCCGGAGGTTGGAGGGGTCCTCCGGCACTTGGCACACACGGCCATGCGCCACACGTGGAGCCTAGGAGTCATTTCGTGCAATTCATCTCATCTGCGGGAGATTACATATGAGATATCGTCTGGCGTTATGAGGGCCCGGTATGGACAACATCGATACTCAGCCGATGTTTGGAGATGCTGTTTCGACCACCGATACTCCCAGACTCACGCGCCAAGACTTGCGAAAACAGCGGCAGTTGGGCACTGACACCAGAGCGTGAACTACCCACCTGTCCATACCTGTCCCACCTTTTGACCTTCCCAAAGTTGCCAACCAGAGAAGCCAAAAGCGAAAACCAGAAGGGGTAAGGCCAGTAAGCGAGTAAGCCTGACAAGAAGGTGGAAGAGGAGGCGGACAAGCCTTTGAAGAGAAAGGCTACAAAAGCTGCTGAGCTGAGCAAAGGTGACAAGTCATCGAAGAAGGACTCCAAGAAGAAAAAGGATCAAGACGCCTACAAACAGAAGTTGCCCCGCAAGAGCGCTGCCTACCACGCCGCCATTCGGCAGGCAAAGTCAGAAGGCTTGACTCCAGAGGAGTGCAAAGAGCTTGGTCGTGTGGTAGCCTGCCTGCACTTGTAGTACGAATTATGTGTATGTGTCAACTAGCGCCAATTTGTGTCGCTGAAAAAATGATCATCCAACTGAGGCATACAAAACTACAGAGTGATGATTTTCCAGAACATCGGCTTGGGCACTTGTAGGGGCATTGCGACAAGCAATACGGATGTATCCGGCACCTGTTTGCTATAGACGCTTTGCTTTAGCTAGGGGCTGGGCCTGCAGAGCTAGAACCTTGCAAACTGCATGCAGGGGAACCTCTGTCACGGTTGTTGGCGAATGGCTGAGAAAACAGCGCAGTCATTTTGCACAGGCGACATACTTGCAATGGTAACTTCAACTAATATACATGTGCAGTGTAGTAGTCTGTTTATGCATGATCTGTTTTGTTTGAACTGGTCGCAAAGAGACCGGACCAAACCGAGCGCCAGGCGCTGGTCGCGAAGAGCTGTCCAACATGGTCTCGAGCACTGCACGTAGGACGTAGGCCAAAGCCTTCAAGTCCTGCCAGCTCAGATTTGCTTTATTTAGATTCAATCGATCACTTCCGTATGCAAGGATCGGCTCATGACGGGTAGCTCGGTATAGTGCTAGGTCCAAAACATGGCCGAATGAGTGGCAAGATATCTGATGCACATGGGAGCGCCCAAAGCTACTTGCTCAGAAGAAAAACCACTGAAGTGCACTTGC